ATTTTATGAATTTGACCTCAAATGGAAAGGAGGTAAAAGCAAAAATAAATGAATGGGACTATATCAAACTAAAAAGCTTTTGCACAGCAAAAGAAACCATCAACAGGGCAAAGACAGAGCTGTCCGAATGGGAGAATATATTTGCAAATAATGCCTCTGCTAAGGGCCTAATATCCAAAATATATAAAGAACTCATACAACTCAACAATTAAAAAAAAAAAAATCCATCTTAAAAATGTGCAGAGGACCTGAAAAGACACTTCTCCCAAGAAGACATACAAATGATCAAGAGACATATGAAAAGATGCTCAGCCTCACTAGGTATTAGGAAAATGCACATCAAAACCACAATGAGATGCTATCTCACACCTTTTTCAAATGGCTATCATCAACAGGACAAGTAATAACAAGTGTTGGAGAGGTTGTGGGCAAAAAAGAACCATCGTACACTGCTGGTGGGAATGCAAATTGGTAGAACCATGATAGAAAACAGTATGAGGGTCCTCAAAAAACTAAGAATTGAATTACCATATGATCTAGCAATCCCTTTCCTTGGTATTTATCCAAAAAACCTGAATACATTTGTCCACAAAGATATATGCACCCCAATGTTCATAGCAGCATTATTCATGATGGCCAGGACATGGAAGCAACTGAAGTGCCCTATGATAGATGACTGAATAAAGAAGCTGTGGTACATATATACAATGGAATATTACTCAGCCACAGAAAAGATGAAATACTGCCATTTGTGACACATGGGTGGATCTTGAGATAATCATTCTAAGCGAAATAATTCAGACAGAAAAAGTTGAAAACCATATGACTTCATTCATATGTGGAATATAAAACTGAAAGCAACAAACAAACATGACAAACAGAGACTCATGGACACAAACTGTGGATTAGTGGCTACCAGAGGGAACAGGGGGAAGAGAAGAGAGAAGTAGACAGGGGTAAAAGAGGTCAAATATTTGGTGACAGAAGGAAATCTAACTTTGGAAGGTGGACACACAATGCAATATATATATATATGACATACTGTTGAATTGTACACTTGAAACTATTTGATTTTATTAATCAATGTTACCCCAATAATTTTTAATTAAAAAAATAAAGTAATCGTGTGCCAGCTAGGAATTGAGGACTCAAGGGGCCTTGATTATTTCTGCTCTCTTTGAACTTTGCTGCCACGTGGACAAGCCCAGGCTAGACGGTGGATAATGAAAGACACATGGCCCAGTCATCCCCATCACCCTGAGCCCAAATCCACCAACTCCCAGAAGCAGAGCCGCTTAGCTGACTTGTACCTGATGGCAGATGCATGAGGGAGCCCAGCCAAGATCAACAGAACCACCCGGCTGTCCAAGCTCAATAACATTAAAGGGTTGTTATTTTAAGTCACTAAGGTTTAGGAGGGTTTGTTACACAGCAAAAATGAACTGATATATATATATATAAAGCAAGAAAAGGAGGCAGTAACAAGATAAGCCTGCCCTTTTACACTGCAGCAGGGTAAGAATACACTCTGTGGCCAAGTGGACACTTTAGAGGACACTCAAGCTTTGCTTTCATGGAAAAAAACACCTACAGCTGGAAGACCTTAGGGGGAGTATCACTTCAACAGGACGAAGAAAGGGAATTCTAAGAGGTTAGCACAAAATGCATTGCCTATAAAATGAATGATACATTGCCAAGGTCTCTAGCTGGTGGGGAGGAACTACTCTACAGTAGACACATACATACACACATACACAGAGCAGTCCACAAAAAAACAGGCAATATTTGGTCATCAGCCACACAAAGGACATGTATGCTAGACTACACCAGCACCAGTCAAGAACTATTCTCCTCTCTTGCTTTCTATTCCCACCCAAAATCTACCCATCTGCCAGCCTTGGAGAAGCCAGACACAGCAGAGGATTAGGAGAGAAGGTGAAGCAATAAGAATAAAGAAAAAGATCACACTCTCTTGCCACACTAAAGTATAGTTCAGGCATGAGATAAAGTAGGCATAAGGTAGAAGCTTTAAACTAAATGAGAAACTTTAGTTTCAGATTTGAATGACTTTGTCTCTCAAATTCTATCAAGAAAATTTTGAAATACACAAAAAATAAAAGTATAAATAATAAACACTGTATTAGTCAGGGTTTTCCAAAGAAATGAAACCAATAGGATTGTGTGTATATGTGTATGTCTGTGTGTGTGTTTCAGTTCAAGTCTAAAGGCAGGACAAAAATGAATGTCCCAGCTCAAAGGCAGAGTCCCTTCTTCCTCAGCCTTTTCACTCTGTTCAGACCTTCAACTGATTGTATGAGGCCCACTCACATCAGGGAGGGCAATCTGCTTTACCAAGTCTACCAATTCAAATGTTAATCTCACCTAGAAACACCCTCGCAAGCATACACAGAATTTCTGACCAAGATATCTGGGTACCCTGTGGCCTAGTCAAGTTGATACATAAAATGAACCATCACAAATACTTATGTAATTATTACCTAGTTTCAACCATTGTTAATGTTTTGCCATATTTGCTTACTCTATCTATCTATATTTTTAGTTGAACCATTTGAAGAAAATGCAGACATAATACTTCACCCTGAAATGCTGAAGCATGCATCTCTTAAAAGTAGGCATATTCTCCTACAAATCATAATAAGAAAAAGTAACAATAATACCCTAATATCATGAATGCCTGGACTGGTTTTTAAATATCTTAATGTGTATAATATGTGATTATAACCCTCCTGCCAAAAGCTATGAGTTCTATGTTAAACATCATTTAAGAAGAGGAAAGGGGTAAACCAAAACAAGTTTAAAGAGAAAAAGCCATTTCCTTATTTACCGCCATCAAACCCAACCCAGTTAATAAATAGTTATACAAATATAAAGACAAGATACCATTTTTATCTTGAATATCTTTGTCGCTACTCATACTTCAAGCTACAACTCACAAGTCTCCTGGTAATAAGACTTCATTTGTTTATATTTAGGAGCTTTTTTTTTTTTTTAATTCAAGAGAGTATATTTCAATATCTATTTAAACACATCATTTTAGTGAAAAAATTCATTATTTCCTCTCCACTAAATTATTTTTGACAGAAGAGTATATTCTTCCTTATGACTTAACCATACTTTGATGATTGGCAGCAAAAGATGTATTAATAATGAGGAGATGGTAAAATGACTTAAACAATTTCTAAAGAGATGGAAATTTAAAAAAACACACAATAGATCTTATTTAGAAAGAGCTTGAAGGTACTAATAAAACCCTTTATATGGATAAAAATACATTTTTAAGGATATTCATTAGAAGAATTATTAAAAGAATTACTATGATGAACATCCTAACTACTTGAAGAGGAAAAAAAAAGGACAAAGAAATCTCGACCTAACAAATGTCAGAAAAAGAAAAGAATGAAATAAGAAAGCACATAAATAGAAAATAGAAAGTAATATGGCAGGGATAAAGGCAGGTATATGAGTTGGTCGCAATGTCCACGTATGGTATGATTCCTGTTAAGGGACAAAGCCTCTCAAACTGAATCTAAGAAACAAAATTAAATAAAAGAAATTCAGTTACATACCAGGTACAAAAGAGTTATCTAAAACGATTTTTAGAAAGGTGCCCGGACATAAAATCAACAGAGATATATGAAGAACCAAAAACAATCAATTAGAAAATGTAATAGAAAAGAGGACCCCACACAATAGCAATAAAAGTTATAAAATACCTAGGAAATAAACATAACAAGAAATATGCAAGAGCTAAATTTAAAAATATTTAAAACTTTATCGAAGGCTATAAAAGAAGACCCAAATAAAATTAGAGACATATTTCTGAGTGAGATGATTCAAAACTGTAAAGGTGTCATTTTTCTAAATATTAATCTAAAACGTTAATTCAATTTCAATTATCTCAATGACATCTATTTTTGAATTTGATTAACTGTTCATCCAGAAGAATAAATGTGCTAAAAATAAAGGCAACAAAAAAATTTTAAAATAACAATGACAATATACTTACCCTAAAAGGTATTACAACTTACTATAAAACTACAGAAATTAAAAGAATACAGAAATAGTATAGAAATGGAATGGACTAGAGAGTCTAGAAACAAACCTATGCATATAGTATATGATAAAGGTTTCATTTCAATAAAGTAGAAAAATAATGGTCTATTAGAAACAGTAAACTCAAATGCCTAAAGAAGCCAGATAAGAGCATCTATTTGTGAAGCAAGGATAGGTGGGAGCTCTGGCTAACTGAAGAGCACATGTCCATATGTGACAGGGGAAAGACATAATTCTGTTCTGATAATGACTGAAGGATTTTATTGCCAGAAGCTCTGAATTTTTAAGAGAAACTAGAAATAAGGGCTTAATAAAATTTCTTAACTTAAAAAGATTGGTATTTAATTCAAAGTTTAAAAAACCCTGTGTGATTCCAGTAAAATATGAGTGCAGCTCCAGTTTAATCAGTAAGCTACCAGTAAGCACACCTATGCAATAAATGCTCATCTATTTATTCTATAAAATCAGTAAAGATCTCTACATAACACCACATAGAAAATTAAATTTGAGATGGACTAAATATCTAAATAAAAAACAAAACCATACAAAAACCTTAAGAAAATAGATTTACTCATATATTAAAAACACCATCAACAAAAACAATAAAAAGGAAAATGGCTTAAGGGTTGGAAGAGAAGGGAAAAGGATTATAAAATATTTTTAAAATCTTACTAGCTTTTTACTACCCTGCTTGAACTAGGCTAAAGTCTCTTTTAAAGGATAAGAAAAATTCTAAGTCAAGCTACCTATAATGTTTTTAGTCTAATAGGTACATCATGGCAAGGCAAGACAGGATGAGCACACACAAATACAGGATACGAGTATTCTCTACCAAATGATAATTTATTACACTGCAATTGAAACCAAGGTTTGACTATAAACATCAGTCTCTAGCCAACTATAACAGCCAATTCGCTATTCAATACCTGAAAGTATCTCTGGTCAATTAGGGCTTGCTGCTGGTTATCTTTGCTGGGCTCATCTTTTTTCTCTGTGTCCTCAGACTTGTTTTGACTGATAAGATCCCGTAATCTAAAGGGGGAAAAAAAATCAAGATAATACAAAATGCTTTCCTACACAATGAATTAAATAACAAACTGAACCAATGATCCAGCTACCCTCCCAACAGCTTTTTGTCATTTTACATATGTGTGTGCATGTGTGCACAAACACACGTATACGTGCATTTTAAAAAAATTTAAGCCATATCGTCACTGAAAAACAAGAAGTTCCTTTCAATAGATCACAAATTAGAAGGAATCACTAAAAACAAAAGAAAACAAAACAAAAACAAAAAACCTACTGAAGAAAGTCCTAACCATTCCCCGACACTTGCAAAAAATAAAATAGGAAAGAACTGCAGCAAAGGATAGAAGCAACTTAAAAGGTGCTCCAAGCTTGGAGGCTATAGGTAAGGGGAGCAAGAAGCAATAGGCAGGGCAACTGGTTTGGGCACTGTAGCAGCAAGAGCTAGAGTATGGTCCTTTCTTCTTCATGTTCCACTAGTGCCAAATAACAGACAACAGTGATGCCAGAGCCAGTCAAGAAGGCAAGTTAGTACCTAACTCCCCACTTATTTACCATGTTCAAAACTTTAGTTTTGCCTAAAGGCAGTGCCTGGAACATATTATCTAGAATACAGGAGACATAGAAAAGCCAATATGCATGCTCTCTAGCGTGAATATAAGTAAAGTGATATATCTGAATTTAAATGTTAATCTTGCACATCTTGCTCCTTGAATCTTTGGAATGTTTGAACTGGGCAAAATAACCTTTGGACTGGGCCATAGCAACACTACCTTACAAACAACTATTTGTAAAGCCAATAATAAAAACATATCCTGACTACAAGGACTGGTGATTATGGAAATTCTTTCTAGAGATAAAGTCAGTAACCGACTATGTATAGATAAAAAGTAACTCTGTTAACATCAATAGAAATTCCTTTCTTCTGTGAAAAATACTATAAAGAGAGCCACTTCAAAATGAAGTCAGAGCTGCCAACCTAGAGGAACTGCCTTGTACATCTTACTCCTCAAAACTTTGGAATGTTTAAACTGGGCAAAATCACCTTTAGACTGAGCCAAACCAACACTGTATTTCAAAGAACTATTTGTCATGCTAATAGGAAAGCAGACACTCTGACTACTGGTCTGAAAATTAAAGACATTCTTTAGAATTAACAGCACCAGTTTAGCTAAAGAATAACGGCTTATTTGCACCTATAGAAAATTCCCTCCTTGACTTATTAACACCAGTAGAAATTCTCTCTTTCTATTCATGTAGTTATTCCCCTTTCCTTTCTCATAAAAACCCTCTGCCAGTTATCCCAAACTGGAACACTATTTGGGTTTCTGCCTGAATCAGTGCTTCCCAGATAACTATTCTTTTGGATCTCAAATGACCATTTGTTGTCTCTCTCACTCTGGCCTTTTTAGATTAACACTTTTATTAACGTAATTATTCCCTTCCTTTTCTCATAAAAAACCCCTTGCCTTCACCCTGTAATCAGGACACTATTTGGGTTTCTGTCTAAATCTATACTCAATTATTGCTGATCCTAAATAAGTGCTGTTGCCTCTCAGCTTTTTGTTGTTTTAAATTAACAGTGTTTTAGAAATCTACATTGTAGTAGAATAGACTGTATTCAGAAATATGGTAGCATTGTTCTGCAGTCTCCAGCAGGGAGCAGGGCCTGAAGGCCATAAAAATCCCCTAAGAATAGGTAA